GGAGGAAGAGGAAGGGAGGAGGAGGAGGGGAGGAGGAGGAGGAGGGGAGGAGGATGAGGGGAGGAGCAGGAGGGGAGGAGAAGGGGAGAGGAGGAGGAGGGCAGGAGGAGCAGGAGGGGAGGAGGAAGAGGAGGAGGGGAGGAGCAGGAAGGGAGGAGGAGTAGGAGGAGAGGAGGAGCAGAAGGGAAGGAGGAGGAGAAGGGAAGGAGGGGAGGAGTAGGGGTTGGGAAGAATAACTTATTCAATACAAAGTTCCAAGTATTTGGTATCTGGTGCTCAATGCCTATTCTGTGCACAATGCACAGTAGTTGAAGCCGGCAATCATTCCAGTTTAGCCCCTGTGCTGGGTGGATGTGACTTGGGGACACTGGCTGTGTAAGACTGTGTTAAAATAAAGTAGATGTGCACACATGTGAGAGACAGAATTTTGACAATTGTTCTAAGATCTACAGTCCCCGCTCTGAGACAACTTTGTAGAGGAATCATCCTGAATAATGCACCTCAGAAATATTGGGGGCAGCTACTCGTCCTTTGCAGACCCCCCTGGGCATGTCACGCAAGATCAACAGGAACTGCCATTTCCCCTGAAATCCTGTCTTTATGAGGTGATCACAACCAAATTGGATGATCCCAACACTGCCTTTCACACCCCTGTGAGTGGAATCCTCACCCTATGGTTAGGCGCAGCAGCGGCGAATGGTCTCTACGGCTGATTCAAGGATAAATATAATCATTCCTGGTACTATAACAAAAGTGTTTGTGGAGTACGGAACTTGTAGAAGACTGAGAAATGTATGCTTATATAAATATAATATCGTTTGTCTTCAAACAATTTTGTTATGCTCATTTAAAGAACCCCAGGGTCAGATGTCTGATTATACGTCTTATGAAAAATAAAACTGACATAAACCCATTTCATAATTTAGCAATGTGCATCTAACACTTACGATTCAAATCTGCTCTTTTCTAGTATTTGGGATTTAATTGAGAAAGTCACCTAGAACCCATTTTTAACTTGTGGAAATTCCTTCAATACTGCAGTCCTGGTGGAGAAAATAAAGCAATCTCTCCTTGTTCCAGCCTCCTTGGCTTCCTGGTTGCCCATGGAAATTACTGCAAATTGTCCTACAAATCCCAGCTGCCATCTTGAGTGGCAATGATCAAGGCACACTTTCATGTTTTCAACATTTTCTCTAAAAGGGTACCTTTAGTAGGTCAGTGAGGCATATAGCTATTGTTGGCATATTTCAATCGGTAGACAAGGTGGCCTGCACTGAGATCACCGAAGGTCCCATCCCAATGATAGCATTAACTATGAGATCAGCTTGTAATAGTTTTAATAGGTAATTCAATGATAAGCTATAAGG